TGTGTGTGTGTGTGTGTGTGTGTGTGTGTGTGTGTGTGTGTGTGTGTGTGTGTGTGTGTGTATTTTATATATTATTTGTAAGTCTAATTGCAAAAAAAATCTAAATCTTTGCTCGCAGTGCGAGTTTTGCACTAATCTTAAAATGTCTGAAATATATGACTATCTAAAAAGAGTTTCTTAATTTCATCCCTAGGTGGATGAACTGAACATTCTCACAATTAAATTTTGATGGATTTCCTTTATATATTTCACATTTATCAAATGATTTATAAGCAATACTCGATGTCACTCATATCTATTTTATTTTTTGAAAGAATTTCTATTTGAAAAGTATCAAATCATTTAAAAAATTTCAAGAACATTTAATGAAAGATTGTAATACTGGTCATATTCGAATTTGAGTACGTTTAGTTCCGTACAATGCAAGTACCATTTTATTCTTGTTTAAGTTCGCTTTATGGGAGTCAGATATTTATAATCGATTCTTATTATTCAAGACCATCTTAAGTTCATCTTGAGATGTCACGAACCAAGACCATATGCGTCTTAAGACATTGGTCTTGAAATAAAAATCAACTATTAATACCGCAACCATAGATTGCCAATAATGAAAATATACAGCAATTCATGTTACATAGGTTTTCAGTATTGGCAGTGAATATTAGAATATGATTACTGATATATATATATCCATTGTCAGCAGTAAGTCTGTTCTTTTTAGCTAAAGTTCTTGCATGATTCATTTTTCTTCTTTTTCTCTCCATGTTGGAGAGAAAAAGAGAAAAGATGAACTGTGCAAAAAGTTTAGTTAAAAAGAACAGGACCAGTATCAATAGCAATAAAATTAGCTAAACTGTCACTAGATGGCTAAACTTGAAAACTGTTTCTTGTATTTAAAATTTTACACAATTTCTTTATAAGGAGCATCTTCATATAACTTGACATAAGCAATACTCAATAAGGTGTAACTTATTGTTAACTTTTTGAAGGTAATCGAACCAATAAGAACATTAGATAATTATAAAATTAATTTATATATATTTAATTTTCCTACTAATATCTCAATTAGATTTTCATAAAAGAAATACAGAGGGAGATTTCTATATGAAATTAACACAATTAATAATAAGTGTATGGACAAATTGCTTTTCAACAGTAAAAGTTGTGAATTTTTTATAAAAAAAATATGAGATTCTGGATTTTATCTAATTTCATGGATTTATTTGTTTGTTACGTTAATATATTAAATAATACTTAATATGAATTAAATATTTAAATAATTTTTATATATGAGAAAATTTTTATATATGAGACACAATTTTATACTAGAATCTATATTAGAATTATACTAGAATTATAACAACCTAGCAAAAACAAGAATGGATTAAAATGGATTGAAATTTTTTTCTATCCGAATGCGTATTTTAAATAGCGAATACTTTTTTTGGATTCAATTGGATTCAATTAGATTTAATTGGATGCAATTGGATTGAAACTGCATTTCCTATTCAAAATTTTGAATTGAACAGTACACAGAAATGTGTACTGTGCATTCACAATGCACAGAAAAAGCCAATATTATTTTTAGATTGAAAGGCATAGAGATATGCTCCATACAATTCCTACAAATGAATAAAAATTCAGGATTGAAAAGCATTTTAATATTCGTGAATATTTTTAAAAAAATATTTCTAAAAATCTGAATCCATTTCAATTCATTTCAATCCATTCTTGTTTGCTGGGAATGTCTTTATATATTTATCTTATTTATATCATGTTTGCTTGCAATTTATATTTACTAAAGTGCAATTAAGAAATATTTTCTGACGCTAAATGGATGAATATAACAGCACTTTCTTATATATTTAAATAACATCTACCATTAGTATTTCTTTTGACGATGGATTATACTTGTCTATAATCCAAACAACTTTTCATATTTTTTGTATGCTTTTTGTTTTTGTAGCTTAGATTACTTAACAAAAATTCAAAAGATAATCAATGTTTAATTTAATCATATATTAGGTGTAGTAAAAAGAAATCCATTATTTTTCCATTCAATTTCATGCAAAAATAATGGATTTCTTTTTACACCTAATATATATAT